CCCTGTGAGATAGAGTAAGAAATGGCTTCCCTGGGCTTGAGCTGGAGAATGGGAGTGCCAAGGCTCATCCTACTGTTGTTTCCACTTTTACATTTTACACTAAATACATTTCAGCTCTAGGTAAGGCTAAATTCTTCTCCCATAATCTGGATTTTCAGGTTCCTCAGTGGGGATGTGTGTTTGGAGGCAGGTGTTCCCTGCTCACACTTTGGGAACTTAAAGATTTTTCACCTGTCTCACAGAATTTGCAACAGCCTGCCAATTCTTTCAAAGAATCTGTGATTTTTTTTTCTTTTTCTTGGTATGCTCCTGCAATGGTTCATGAAGCCAAAGTCCACAGAGTGAGTCTCCAAACATTGTTCTGTCCTTCCAAATGGGAGCTGAACATCAGCCCTGTCTCTTATCTGCCATCCTCCCTCTCTTTCAATAAGCTTTATTATTATGATGATTTTGAATTCCTTTTCTGGCATTTCATATTTTTTTTTGTTGGACTCTGTTGTTGGAGAATTGTGTTCCTTTGGAGGTGTCACATTTTCTTGCATTTTTATGTTTCTTGTGTTCTTATGCCACTATCTATACATCTGGTGTAATAGTCACTTCTTCTAATTTTTGAATTGACTTTCATAGGGAAAGACTTCTTCCTGCATATGTATCTATAGTGTTAGTTGCATAGGGCACTTTAGCTTTGATTTTGGGAGCATGCAGTAATTGTCTCTCCATATGATTTCTTGCCTGTACTAAATATCAGTGGTGTCTGTGAATTTCTTAGTGACTTAAACTGCAGTTGTTATTGGAGGCTGTGATGAGGCTTTACTGGGGATGGGGACACCAGGTGGGCTAGTTTTCAGGCCTCAGTGGTGGCAGCAGTAGTCTGAGCCTGCCTGTCCTTGGGCCCCCAGGTGGCATACATGAGCACTGGTATTAGCAGTTCCAGGCAGACCAATCTTTGGACCTCCAAATGGCTTGCTCAGGTGCTAGCAGTGGCCATGATGGGTGGGTCCTCAGATTCCTGAGTGGCATTCATGGGGTTGGCAATAGCATTAATGATGGTAGACCAACCCTCTGGCTCCTAAGCATCATCCATAGGGCACTAGTTGTGGCAGTAGTAAGCTGGGCAGACCCATCCTTCGTCTCCCAGGAGGAGTATGTGTATGCTGCAGATGCTAGTAGTGCTGGGCAGGGAGGGTCAGTCTCCAAGTTCATGGATGAGGTATGCAGGTGCCAATAGGCTGAGCAGACTTTTCCTCAGGAACCTAGTACGAGTGGGTAGAAGCTGATCACAGGTAGGGTGAGTTGATCCCCAGGCCCCAAAAATGCACAGATGCGTTGGTGGGCATGATTCCAGATGGATCAAGCCTGTCATCAGCCTCCCAATGGTGGGCACAAGCACAGACTGTGGTGGTCAGGGCTGCTCAGTCTCCATCCCCCAAGTCAATGTCTGTTGGTGCCAGCAGGGTGGGTGGGCCTGTCTTCAGGCCGAATGAGGGTTTGCATGGGTTTCTGTGACAGGGGGCAGGGCAGCTCATGAGGGTCTTTTTTTTTTCTTTTCATTATACAGTGCTATTCCCATAAAAATAAAGGTCTTTAAAAATTGTTGTTATTGGGGTTTTTTTTGCTATTGCTAGTAATATACTCAGATTGACAATTAGTAGTTTAGGTCACTTGGTGTCACTTTTTTTTTTTTTTTTTCTGAAACAGGGTCTGACTCTGTTGCCTAGGCTGGAGTGCAGTGGCTCGATCATAGGTCACTATAGCCCTGACTTCCCAGGTGCAAGTGATCCTCTCACCTCAGCCTCCTGAGTATATGAGACCTCAGGCATGCACCACCATAAACAGATCATTTTTTCATTTGTAGAAGTGAGGTGTCACTATGTTTCCCAAACTGGTCTTAAACGCCTAGGCTCAAGCAATCCTCCTGCCTTGGCCTCCCAAAGTGATGGCATTACACGTGTGAGCTGCCACCCTTGTATTAAATAGTGTCTATTTATGGTATCATATATTATATCATATATTATAAATCCAGTTGTTGTCTTTCACCTAGATGGCAGTTAGCCTCCTAAAATTCTGGCTTTCATTCTTCAACTCTCTTGAGTAAAATAAGCATTTAGTACCTCCCACATATAACCCTTTGAAAATTCATGCCAGAGGAGATACATGTGTGTACAAGTCACCAGCCTTATTGATCCCAGAGTCTTATGAGAAGATATAGCATGCACAGGAAAACTTCTAATACAAAAGAACAACTGGTATTAAATGAAGTTATTATGCCAATTAAGCAATTGCCGTGAGTGCGTACAAGACTTTATTCATTGAGCACATAAGTATTGCGCATGGTTGTTTTTTATGCTTATGGATCCTTATACGTCTAGGGCAAGGGACAGCCAATAATTATATCTAATATCTAACTGTGAGATATAAACAGTCCTCAGAGAACACAAGAACAAGATCAGCTTTGCCCAGAAGTCTTTACAGAGGAGGTAACATTCTGAGAGACAGGATGCTTCATGGAGGTGGAGGCATTTGGAATGAGCTTTCAGAATCAGCTAGATTTTGACTAGCAGAGAAAAGGTGAAGATGGAATGAACAAGGATATGAAAATGAGAATGCAGAGGACATACTCTGAAAACAAGTGATCCATTTGGCAAAAGCGTAAGAAGGGGTTGGGGAGTAAATAGGGACAAAGTTTGATTAGAGGGCTGGCACTAGAGCAAGTAGGGTTGTAAACATGAGGTGAGGCACTCAGATGTCATGTCATTTACACTGACACTGGTACCACATTCTCTGGTACTTGTGTCTGTATAAGTCAGGCAATTAATTGTATGCACTATGCAGTTATGATGGCCTAGGACTTTTTTTTGTTTGTTTGTTTTCTTTTTTTGGAGCCTTGGTCTATTGCCCAGGCTGGAGTGCAATGGGATAATCTCAGCTCACTGCAGCCTCTGTCTCCTGGGTTCAAGTAATTCTCCTGCCTCAGCCTCCTGAGTAGCTAGAATTATAGGCGACCACCACCACCTGGCTAATTTTTGTGTTTTCAGAAGAGATGGGGTTTCACCATGTTGACCAGGCTGGTCTCGAACTCCTGACCTCAGGTGATCCACCCACCTATGCCTGGGATTACAAGCAAGAGCCACCGCGCCTGGCGGGGACTTTTTGTTTCTAGCCACTTTAGCCTGCCTAAAATTTCTTTTGAGAAATAGCATTTTGAAAACAATATAAGAAATTCATGCTTATTGTAGAAGATGCTGGAAAATGGAGGGAAAAGAATTTTTAAAGATCATAATTCCACCACCTTAACGTAACCACTATTGATTTTTTTTTTCTTTTAATACTCTTCCTTCTCTGTTTTTCTTTTGTCAAACCTAGAATCATGGTCTCTACAGTTACACATCCTGATTTTTTTTTTTTCACCTATCCCACTTTGAATATTTTCCTATGGCAGAAGAGTTTCTTTGGAAACATAGTATCATATCACAGGAATACAACATAAATCATTTAGTTGATTTCCTGATGGTGAGCAAGTAGAGTGCCTCTAATTGTTTGCTATATTGAATAAGTCTTGTTCATGGACAGTAGCTCCGACTTACATTGAACACTCTTCCACACCCTTTGCATGTGAACTCATTTAATTCTCGCAATAGCATGAGGAGGTCTGCTCTTTATATCTCTATTTTACAGATGAGGAAAGCACAGAGAGGTTAAGCAACATAGACGAGCAACTTAATAGGAGGGGCAGAGCTTTTTGCCAAAGCTCTATATGCTTTGGAATAAATGGGTCCAAAAATATAAATATTAAGGCTGTTGATACATATTTGGAATGGTTTTAGAAAAAGATGTGGCTCTTCTTACATTCCTAAAAGATTCTAATGTTCAGTTGGGGAATGAATGTATAGCCTAGTCAGCAAATATATACCGGTGGCTGTTTTCTGGAGGCTTTTGTTTGTATGACTGATGAATGTACTGGAAGGTACTGCCAAGAAGCTGCTTCTCCCAGATCTTTGTACAGAGACTAATGTTACTATGAGCACGTAGTTCTGGGATTTAGACCTGCATTGCTTTGTATATTTAGCAGTGGACTGCATTTGTACAGCTTTGCTGGTAAGAGCTCTACTTTACTTACAGAGCCCGTGGGTTTGTATCAAGTTAAACATCTTACCTGCACCAGCATTCCATTCTTTACCTAATTTAGTTGTGTAGCAAATCTACCGTGCATGAAAGTGTCAGTTGTGGATTCTTTGGCAGAAGTAAAATCTGTTTATGTTTCAGTAAAACTTACGCTGAAAGCTCTTTCTATTCCTATGTCCTTTGAAAGCTTAATTCACAATTTCCTTGTTATTGCTCCTTCATAAAACATTGAGTAGAAAGGACAGAGGAAACATATTCCTTTTTTATTTTTTAACAAAAAAAGAACCTCTGAGAATCCTTTCCCCTACAATGTGGCAAAACTAAACCAAGCTATGGTGTGCCACACATAAACTTGTGTCTCTCCATACGTGACAGTGCCGCTGGGCTCAAGGGAAGAATACTGTTTGTGGAATGAATCCATTTATGATGTAAATAACCCCAAGCAGGGAAGGCAGCTTAAGCTTCCATAAGGCTTAGCAAAATCTTCTCGTATGAGAACTAGCAAAGAATTTGAAGATACAAAATATCAGGGTCCATTTTGAAAGCTGGGGCAGTAGCAGAGGGGATGTCGAGAGTCCTGGTGTATAAAGGGTGGGTCACCTGAGGTGCAGTCCAAAGTCCTTGAGCAAACAGAGGGTAGGGGCAGAGGAGAGAAAGCACCTGAGGCAACCCCTGTTTTTCTTTGGTTCAGGCCAGAGAGTGGGTATTTGTCTATAGCTTCCCCACCCTCACTGTCCTCCCATCACACTCCCCTACCGCCCACCAAAAAGAAAAAAAATCGAAACTTTTGAACCCATGTGGGGATTTCACAATCATGTCTTTTTTTCTTGGTAATGTTCTGCTTTGACATAATAACAAATCTGTTTATGTTTGCAAAGGATTAGCTATGGACCCTGCTTCTGGAGCAAAACTCAGACAAGGATTAAGTAAATCTTCTAAAAAAGATTAACTCCTAGAAGCCAGGTAAGAAAAAAATATATCACCTTTAATCCAGATGTTGCTGACCAGTTAATGACTTTTAAGAGAATGGATGCATAGCAGGCAGACTGAAGAAACATTTGGGCAAACTCTGAGTTAACAAAATGTATGCTCTTGAAACTGACTCTTCTGTTAAACATACAGTTTGAAGAGGATATTCAGTTTTTGATTCACGACTTAATAGGAAAGGGAATGATCCCTCACTTTTGACCTGGCAGGTTACTGCCTTGTCCCTTTTTCTAAGCACCTTACTCTCAAAAACACAGTCCCCTGAGAGTGTGAATTATTTGCAAAACAATTAAAAGTCTAAAGAACGCTATGTTGTTACTTAGCATTCTCAGTGTGGGAACAATGACTTTCTAAAATAAACGCCTCTTCTTTCTGCTTTCAGACGGGCTGCTCCCTGAAACCCATCAGCCTGGATGGCTGCATACCCAGGAATGCCACCTAAGGGGAAGGAATGTAGATGTGATGTCTGTTTATACACCCTTGATTCTTCTTGAAGCATCACTTAGAACAAGTAAAACTAGCTTCAAATTTTTATTTACTCCCTTTGAAATATTCAAAACAAAACCACTAAACACATCGATCGTATAATGCATTATTCAAATTCACTTGAAGTTTTTTTAATTGGACATTTGATGGGTTTTTAAAGACAATGTTGCTTTGACATTAGAACCTTTTTAGTAGACTAGTAATTGGAGTACTAACATTATTTACTAGGAAAATCTTTTTTTAACTAGCTTCATTTTGCATATATTGGCATCTAGTATTGTAGTTATGATGCTTAAATGTTTATGTATATACTGTGTAGAATTGTCTTACATATACCAGTCACAGACCATGTTTAGGGGGAAACACTGGATGAGAAATCTTCCATCCTGTGGAAAGAATGTTCTCAGTGGCCTCAAGCCATTTATTTATCATGGCTAAAGCAGAAGCCATCTGTTCATTTCTTTAGCATTGAATTATACAGAGCTCTGCTCTGTTGGGAGGTGACTCTCCCTTCTCTTTGCAGTCTTTTTTTTTTTTTTTTTTGGAGACAGGATCTCACTCTGTCACCCAAGTTGGAGTCAAGTGGAGCGATCTCGGCTCAAGCAATACCTCCCACCTCAGCCTCCCAGGTAGCTGGGAACACACAGGCTTGCACCATCACAACCGGCTAATTTTTAAATATTTTTTGTAGACATGGGGTTTCATTGTTGGCCAGGCTAGTCTTGAGCTCAAGAACTTGAACTCTTGAGCTCAAGCCATCTGCTTACCTTGGCCTCCCAAGGTGCTGGGATTACCGGCATGAGCCACTGTGCCCAGCCTCTTTGCAATCTTAAGGGTCAATAGACCTCTTTTTGTAGAGTTAGTTATACTTGTACTTTTAAATTCAAGAACTTTTTCTTAACCTCATAAAATTTTAATTAGGACAATTAAACCATTTATTTCTGTCCAAATTTAAGTAGAATATCTGAAATTCTTATGGTCTGTAATTTGGGGACTAAACTCCAAATGCTATGTTCTGTGTTCAGGAAAATCAAGTATGTGTTGTGGAACTGACAGGTGACAGTAGTAAGCCATGTAAAAGTATCTGTGGAAGCTTCTAGAAATGGATCTTGGGAGGTTTTAGTTGAGATGAGCTACTCGTCTTTCCCCTTGTGCCCTAGGAGATTGCTTTCCATCTGAGAACAAAGAGAGGGGATATGGGAACCGACTTAAACATCCCAGAGCAGTGGACTCCTTCTAATGGAATAATTTATGTATCACTTTGTCTCATTTCCTCCCCACAGGTTCCACTGTAGTTTAAAGACTCAAGTCTGTCTGGCAGCTGGGTCTCACAGATTAAGCTTCCTTCTCAGTGCCAACCCTGGGTAGCTGTTTGCCCCTTACACTGTCATCAGCATCATTGTTAAGGACTGTGGGTGGGTCAGGGTTTCTCGCATTTGACCAATGGGCTTCTTGGATAGACAAACAAGCTTGTCTTTCCTTTCTTTACCTACCCTCAACCTATTTTGGGGTAAAACAAAAAGAAACAGGTGTGTCAGATATAAGGGGCACAATACTTTAAGGAAATCCCAATAAGAAATAAGTAAATTTCTAATTTGGCTAGAAATTAATGGTAAACACCATGTAAAAGTGGATCATCACAGCCCAAATTAGACTAAACTCCTCTGGTAGACATATTCTAATCTATACATTCGAAATAAATGATGTCGCATTAAAGAATGATTTAAAATAGTTTTTAGAAATAAGATCTTAGTGCTATGAATTTAACTGAAGCATATAAAAACTTCTATCTTAACTCATAATTATTATTTTACTCAAAAAAAGTAAAGTTCCTAATAGATGCTCAGTAGAGGTCAGAACAGTAGTTTCCATGGGGGTAGTAATGACCAGGAGGGGGCATGAGGGAGCCAGCTCGGAGCCGGAAGTGTTTTCTATCTTGATCTAAGTGTATGCAGTTCATGTTGACACAGGTGGAGCTGTATGAGAAATTAATTAGTCAAGCCAAATTGCACGATTTGAAAACTTTATTAAATGCAAGATATATGTTTATGGAAAAAGCCTCTAAAAACAAAAGATAATGGAGCTTTAAAAAAGGTTAAGTGTTACATCTTTAAAACTCATTAATACGATAGCAAATTAAAGAGATTATAGTTACATTGTAAAACATAATCTTCTTTGAATAAAAGCTAATAATGACTTAAACTGATGAATTACAAAAGCACTTATTTATTGGTGATTAAAAACAATACTTAAGAACTTAGGCAGCTTGAGTAGTAGTTTAAGCTAGACAGAGCAAAGAAAATTCTTAATATATATATATATATATTTAATTCCAGTAATATTTTCTTAAATTCCTGTTAAAAATATAATCAATATTATAGTCAGCAAAATGCCTTTGACTGACGCCTGGATTATTTTACCACTTAACCTGGTTACACAGTGATTTTTTTTTCTGTCAGATGTAACTGACAACCAGTTTTGTCTTTAAGATAAATGAAGTGATAACTTACATTGCAGCATCTTGTGAAAAATATTCAGACTACATTTAAAATGCTTCTGTAAAATGGAGAACTCTATTGCTCCACAAGAAATTGTATATGCAAAACTACAGGTTGGCTATGGTAATAGTAACTAAACTACATCCAACCCTGAAGGTAGAAAAATCCCTGAAAAGAAATACACAGCCTAGTTATAATATGCCATATAAAGGTTATTTTCTTATTTTTAAAATTCTCCCAATTTGGAGAAATCCACACCTTTCCATAGTTCCCTTACTAGGCAGTGCCACACAAAGTTATTTAGTTAACATTATGATGAGCATGGCTTACAATAAATTCCATATGACAAACACTTATATATAGCAGCCGTCATTTTGGATGTTGGTTATGACAATATTTGCAGTTTGATTACAGAACACGCATTCGTTAAATTTGGTACAAAGCATGAACACTCAAGACAGATTGGCACAATACATGCAGTTTGAGAATTCTCTCATCTCAAGCCAGTCATCACTGAATAAGCCATAGTCCCAGTCCTGTTTTCCAAATCTTTCTCGTGTTGTAACTGACATTTAAAACGCTTCTCAAAACAACTTCCAGAATACGAAAAATACACTTTAGAAATCAGTTATCTGAATGCATGATGGAAATGAGGCAGGATGGCAGAGCCAGTGCCAGCTGAGAACACATGGGGGATGGGGGGCAGGGGGAGCTGACCCAGGCTCACAGTGCCCACAGCAATTTGGGGTTCCTGCTGCTGCTGCCCCAGACAACTTAATCTGTGGGGCAGAGATTCCCCAGGCCCCAGGGGGAGAGTGCTATTCCCAAAGGTATTTTGGGTAGCAGGCGGGGGCAGCTGCCAGAAGCTCAACAGTGGGGACAGGTCCAGAGAGGCAGGTATTGTTAGGTTCACAGCATCTGCAGGCAGCTCCTTGGGCAGGCTTATTTTACCAGCATTGCCCTTAGCCAGATCAAAACCTGGGTTGAGCTTTTGAGGTGACTGAGGCTCTTGCAGAGGCAAGTCCTCAAACAAACTGATATTGCAAAAACCTTTAGTATCTGCCTTGAGGGGCAGGCTTGCAAGTGGGGCATATGAGGTAGAAGTGGTGGCATACTTGTGATTGGGAAGGGGAGGTGGAGGAGAGCCAGGGGCTACCGAGGGATGGAGGGAGGCCAGGGACTCTGGCAGCGGCTGCATAGGCTGGGCAGCTTGTTCTGGGGGCCCAAAGGTGAGGCTATGGACCTCAGGTGGCAAGCTACTTGCAAGCCCGTTCTGGGCAGAAGCTCCTAAAGAGAAAGGAGACAAGGCAGCAGCCTTCAGTTGGAATGAAGGCGAGATGGTATGGAAGGTGCTCAGAAGGTCTCCGTTCTGCAGGCTCTCTTTCATCAGCTCCTGTGAGTGGGTCTTCTTGGTATGCCGGGTGAGGTGATCCTTGCGCCCAAATCTCTGGGCACAGAACTGGCACAGGAAGTCCTTGCATCCTGTGTGGACCACCAAGTGGCGTCGCACATCCTTCCGGGTGTAGAAGCATCTTTCGCAGTGGTCGCATTGGTGCTTCTTTTCCTTGGTTCCACTAGGGGGCTTCTCTTCTGCATGGGATTTGAGGTGATCCAGCAGCACCTCGGTGCTCCCTAGCTCCAGGGCACAGACCCCACAGGTGAGGTCGCCACTGCTGGCCGCATGCAGGGCCAGGTGCCTCTTATAGCCCAGCAGGGTGTGATACTTCTTCCCGCACTCATCACACCCATAGGCCATTTTGTTGGGGTCGTGGGTCTGGAGGTGGTTTTTCAGGTGATCTTTCCGGTTGAATGTCTTCCCACAGTAAACGCACCGGTGAGATTTCTGAGGAGAATGGGTCGCCATGTGCCTAGAAGCAGAAGGAGAAATTTCGCAATAGAGAGCTGTTTTAAGGGATGAAGAAAGGTGTAGAAACACTATTATATCTAAGTGTTGATAGTCTTCTCTGGGTCTTGGTATAATTTTCAAAATTCTTTTCTATATTTTCCAAATATATAAACTTTCATGATTAAAAAAAGCAAGCCGTACTAAAGACATAATGCTTCTTTTGCACCTATAAAACGTTTTTGGAGACAGGATCTGACTCTTTCCCACGCTGGAGTGCAGTGGTGCATCATGGCTCACTGCCACTTCAACCTCCTGAGCTCAAGCAATCTTCCCACCTTCGCCTCTCAAGTAGCTGGGGCAACAGTCACACACCACCAGGCCTGGCTAATTTTTTTTTTTTTCCATTCCTTAATTTTTTTGTAGAGACAATGTCTCAATATGCCTATGCTGGTCTCAAACTCCTGGGCTCAATTGATCCTCCTGCCTTGGCCTCCCAAAGTGTTGGGACTACAGACACAAGTCACCGTGCCTGGCCAGAATATTCTTTAAGAAAACATGTTTTCTTAATGTATACAGATTTCTAAACAAAGTATGCAAGTATTTAAAAATATGTGACCATGAAAAATCTTTTTCAGAAAGGGGTTAAAGGGGTCTTTTATATGCTTTGGAAATTCAAGTGACTCAATTTGCCTGCTACCCAGAACTGTGTAACGCCCCAGTTTTGGGTTATTGTTTCTAGTTCTGATGTTTCTATTGATTGTGACAAAAAGTTCAGGCCATGGACATATAACTCTTAAGAGCCTCTTTAAAAACCCATCCTTAAGAAAAGTGTCTAATAGGACCCCGAACTTCAGCCCACTGCCTGTGCTCTCAGCCCCAGCCTCTGCCCACCATGAGATCTCACCACTGTCTTGATTTTCTTCATTCAATGCTTGCCTATCAGCTCTCATCTCCAATGTTACTACCAGTCTCCATTACCTCAAATTTTCCCTCGAAGACACCTTCAACTCACTTCTTGAAGGTCACTGGTAATTTAATTGATGAAATTCAAACAGACTTTTTTCTTTAACGACTAAGCTGCTACTCCTAAGAGTTGTAAGTTTTCCTTCAACAAGGACTTCAAGGACAAGTAGTCTGTTTAGTGAATTTGGAATTTCAAAGTAGCTCTTCTATATTTGTAAAGCAGAAATTAGTTATGGAAAGCCATCACAATTCCATCTCTTTCATAGTTCCACTGACCTGCTAACATCTAAACTCAACGTTGGCTTTTAAAAACGCAGTGGGGGCTGGCCACAGTGGCTCACACCTGTAATCCCAGCACTTTGGGAGGCCGAGGCAGGCAGATCACAAGGTCAGGAGATTGAGACCATCCTGGCTAACACGGTGAAACCCCGTCTCTACTAAAAATACAAAAAGTTAGCCGGCCATGGTAGCACATGCCTGTAGTCCCAGCTACTTGGGAGGCTGAGGCAAGAGAATCACTCTGGGAGGTGGAGGTTGCAGGGTTGCAGTGAGCTGAGATTGTGCCACTGCACTCCAGCCTGGGCGACAGAGTGAGACTCTGTCTCAAAAAACAAAAAAAACAAAAAACAAAATACTCAGTGGTGTAAGGAAACCCCGAGTCTGTCATCTTTAAGCTCTAAAAAGGTTCATTTTAATAACTAAAACACCAAGCACTAATGTTAGTATCTCCTATAAAACAGAATCCTTAATTACAACTTGTAGCTTCATATCCTTCAGGGCAGTTAGCTCCTTTAGGGATTTTGTCATGAGAGGCTAAAGCTTGTCCTGACAATTTAAGTGCAGTCCTACACTGTGAGCTTTTACGTTAGATACTAAAGAATTTCTAAGAACTCATTCCATAAAAGAGATAGGATCTCTTTAAGACAGTATGTTTAAGTCAAAAGTATACTTAATTATACCTTTTAGCCAACATCTGCCCTATACTGTTTATTCCTGCTCCTTTTGTGGAGCCAGAATTGGTGAGGGGTCTACAATAGCCGCTGTTGGGTGGAGGCCCCTACTAAGAGGCCTGCTGGAAGCCAGTTCCAAAAACATAAAGCTGATCTGGATCAAACTGGCATTTTCTTAAAAATAAAGTAAAACCTCATACCTCCCTGCTCTCTCTCTTCAAAAAAAAGTCTGCTGTGTGAATCCCTTCCCTTCCCTCCAAGACACCATGGCTTGTTTGCACATAACAGGATAATATGGTGGGTGCCGTAAGGCAGGGACAGGAACCAATACAATGGGCATCTGAGAAACCAGATTGTGCAGACGTCTCCACATTCTAGGTCTATCTAAATAAATGCACAGGTTGGAGAAAGGGTTTTAGAGCACGTTAGAGAGTGAATAGCCATGTTGTTCTAAATAAATAAATATGAGGGGGGCTGGCTTACACACTTGGTATTTGAACCTATTCTTTGGCCCAGTACTGTTGAATGAGACCCCACAGCTAGGGGTCAGTTTGTGCCTCTCTTTCCTTTCATTATAGAGGATTTTCATCTGATTTGATTTCATTGATCATGCGTGGGTAGATCAATGCAGGTTAACGACTCTGCACCTGGTTTATTTCCTACCCACTCTTTCCTGTCCTAGACCCATACTACCTATAAGTGGGCACAGGCTGACACCCCAGTAGTATTTGAGCAAGACCACCGCCTTCCAAACTTCACTAGCTCCCCCCGCCCCACGCTTCTGAAATTTCCTGACTCTTTCCCTTGCCTGGCATCTACTTCTTTCCCTTTTAATTTATCTCTTTCTTACTTGTGCAACAATCCTGATCTAGAACATTATCATCTTATAGCTGAAATTACGTCAATGACTTGTTTCTTTCCCTCAAATTTTTTGTCTTACCTCATAACCCATGAAAACAGCTCTAGTATGTCCTAGAGTCCGTACCCAATGCCACTGTCTTTGGGTATCGTCTGGATCACGGTCAGTGATCTCAGAATTCTTTAGGGGTTGATTCTTCACATTTGGAATTCCAACCTTGCCAAATCATCTTTTCTTGCCTGTTGTTGTCTCTATCTAACTGGTTTCATTATTTGCTGTACTGGGACCCACATTCTGTTTTCTGGTTATGCAAGTCAGTTATTTTCTCCTTCAACCTCTGCTTATAAAATAGAGCTTATGTTGCAATTGATAGCAAACAGGATGGAATGGTGCCTCATTATCATTTTTCTTAAAGCAAATCCAAAAGCATCCTGCCATCTCGCACTCTTCCATTCCTTTATGATATCACTGCTTCAGGCAAGAGAGGCAAGAAATGTTGGGGGCTGGGGAAGGGAAGGTGGTTCTTAAGTACCCTGACTGCTTCCCTTTTTTGCCTCTCTTTATGCCCTTAACTGAACAAGCCATTTTCCTTGCTCAGAACAACTATGTTCTAAACATGACTTAAGACTTCTTTTTCAGTGCAGTTTACCATAGTAAAGTATTTCTCAGAACATGCGGGGGACTGACTGTACTGCCGTCCTACCCAAATAAACATGTATTCAAGTCCTGCGACCCACCCTATACTTTTCACACACATGTCCAGCATGTGTGTATAAAAAGTCAGCTTTCAGTATACACAGGTTTCACATCCTGCAAATACTGTACTTTCAATCTGCATTTGGTCGAAAAAAATTCATATATAAGCAGACCTATGCAGCTCAAACTCATGTTGTTCAAGGGTCAACTGTAATCCCAACAGTTCTACTCCACTAATTCTGCTTTTCTAAACATTTATCCTTCTATGTGTTTCGGTCTTTATCCACAGTTTTAGTGTCCTCGCTGTGGCGCAGGTGTAGCCAGGGGTGCCCTCATGTTTGGGTAAGGATGCTTACCCCACACACAAGCAAGAAGCTTCATGCAAAACACGGAGCCCTGCAGCAAAATCATGCACGTGATAGGCACTCAATACTTCTACTTGTGACAGCTGGAGGGAGGCCATGTACAGAGGACACTTGAATTTTAAAATATCTAAGCATTTACAGGCTAATTTTTAAAACCAACTTATTATATTTCATTATGTATCACAGTGGTATTCTTAAGGGCCAGGAGCATAATTTGTATCTTTTCAAGTCCTTCAAGTGCCTTCCTCCAGGGTCACTCCAAGATTTAATAATGTGGTCTGTAGTAGTACCACTCAAATGGAAAGTCTCACTTGCTAAAACCTGGCTCTCTCCAGGCATTTGTATGTGGACAAAGTTGAAACTTTTTTATTTCATAAAATTAAAGGCAAATGGTGCATTTCCCTTCACCAGTATCAAACGCAGCACGTGTGAGTGGGCGCTCTGTGTGTGTGGCTCTGAGTGGACACAGACACAACACACACCATGCTCATTACCAGTCCCAGCACCCTGCAGCGCAGCCACTGCGTGTCCGCGGAGTCTTTCCTGTGATAGTGAAAAGATCCCCTGGGGCAGAAACTACACCTACTACATTCATTTCCCTCATGGAAGCAGGTACCTAACAGGCATTCAATAAATAATTCAGATTAAATGTAATTTTTTTCAAGACTCAAAAATAGTGGTTTTTATCCTTTCTTGCACCAGGGATGTCTTTAAAACTCTGATGAGATGCACCTGCCTCTGCCCCTGCATACCCACCTGAACTCCACTTACTAGGGTGGCTTTCCACCCTCACTGAGAAACTGTGTTCCAAAAACTCATGCTTGGGTTGTCTCCTCCCAGCTGTACTCTCAGGACCTGGCCCAGCCCCTTGCATTTCATCCCTAGACTCTGACAGCAGGTTTCAAATCAGCCTATGTGCCACTTCCTCAAATTATCAGAGTCCTCTGTCTAGAATACTAAACAAATCATATTACCTCACTACTTACACACCTGAATGAGACAAACCCTCTCAGATAGAGGTGAGGCCTGCTATACATGGTTTCCTTCCTGCCTGCACTTTGAGCCTCGCCTGCCCCTCCTTGGGTAGTACCCTCGGTACATGGGTGCTTTAAGGCCAAGACTTATGCTTTCCCAGAACCTCCGCTCTGCCTCCTCCTCTTTCATTGTGTCACAGGTTAAGATTGCCCCCATCTGAGAAGCCTTCCCAAGTTTCTTCAAGCAGTGAGAACAACTTCTTCCACCTGCATAGCTCTGTCAAAGCACTGAGGTTGCATTTTAATTGGTTTCCTATTTCTCTAGCCATGGGGAGAGGCCTGGTATATTGTAGGTACACAAGAAATCTCTGCTGAAAGAATGAACTGACACTGCACAACAGGACTGTCACACACAACCACAGGAATCACGGGATGCAGCTCCAAAGAATCCCTCAAAGGCTAAAATCCCAGGTCCCTTTCCCCTTGCATCGTGGTCTGGGAGCTGGAAAAGCCATTCAAATGTACTTGTAAAAGCGCATACCTTTGCTACAGCCTCTCACCTCATCAATTTATATCTGGAAACAAAGGCTTTGCCACAATCAGGCTGCAAGCACTTGTACGGCCGCTCCCTGGAGTGGGAATAATTGTGAATCGTGAACTTCTCCAGGGTGAGGAAGGTCTTGCCACATAATTGGCAGGGAAACGTGGCCATGGGCTTTGCTTCTCACAACTTTCTTTTCAGATGTGCTGACCAAACGCTGTGCCATTTAAGCACAAACAGAAGGATGGTGCTGGCACATCAGCAGAGCCCCTGCAGCTGAACTCCCGACCACGGGAGAGGCAGCATCGTGGACCTGGTTCTACCCAGACATGGGCCTCTCAGCTGTCACTAGCTTTGTTTCCTGCTTTCACACATCCCAGTTTATATGCAGTCTCAAGCTTGGGAAAGAAAGTCTGAGGCACAGGTGCGATTCAGGAGCAGAAAGGTAATGAGCATCACTATAGCTGGGACATGTCGTGGGTCCCCGGATTGCTGTGGAGAGAGAGAGAAGAGGAACAGTTTTCTTGCATTAGCCATTTGAAAACAATGCTTTTCCTCCCTGACCGCTTCAGAATCAACTACCCACAATCAACATGTTCTTTTAAATGGTGCTCATGGAACACAATTCTTGCTGTGAGAGGGCTTTCTATGTATCAGTCTACACATCTGGCTTCTCAGAGGGTAAGGAATCATCACACTGATGGCCGGTGGAGCACACTTTCCCTCTGATAAGGACAGTTCTTTCCACTGATCCAGTATTATCTATTTCAGGTCAGTGTGAAGCTCAGCTGACCAAAGGAGAAAAAACAAAACAAAACAAACTTCCCTCAGTGTGTTCAAGTGTTTTTACTGGTCCCTAAACAAAAATCACCCACGCTTATTCAAACCATGGGTTCTTCCTCTTCGCTCATTGTTAGTGTAACATTAGTTGCTTATCACACCTGTTTAAACTTCCAGAGGATAAGAGATAATTTGTATACACCTAAGTTAATTTGTTTGTAAGATTACTCTGCAGAAGGGTTGATGTAAACAGAATGTGGGTAAAGCTAGTCTAGTCTAGTTGCACTGATGTGATGAGAAGGGAAAACATTCCCAGGGCACAAAGCTGGTAGCTCAGGAACCAGCTCAGGCCACTTTCAGATTTGTAGGCACCATCCTCTAGTAAGTTCTATTAATCTCTTCCCCTTTGTTCATGGACCTTTCTTCATTCCCTGGACCTTCCCCGGAGGGCTCATTCAGCTACCCACTGGTAGGCCACTTCCAGGAGGCGGGCCTACTGCCTCCTCAAACCCAAATCATTATCACCCTTCTGACTTAGCTGGAGTCACCAAAACCCAAGTTCTTCTTTTTCTACCAACTGGCCATCATTGGAGGAACCTGAAGTGTCTGAGGCTGCATCATGAACAATACTCCACTTACAAGGGTGGCTTTCCACCCACGCTGAGAAACTGTGTTCCAAAAACTTATACTTGGAGATGTCTCCTCTTAGCTTACACTCAGGACTGGGACCAGCACCCCACATTTCCTCCCTGGCCTCTGACAGCAGATTCCAAATCAGCCTACCTGCCACTACCTGCCAGGGTGAAGCCTTGAATCACTACCACCACCCTGTGCTATTCTAGACAGAGTCATTCTCAGGTGGGTAAATGCTCACCTTTCAAGTGCCAATACTTTTAAAAAAAATTTAAGAGTACTATATGCTTAGGTGAAGTACACTTGAGTAGCTTTTGTCCACAGGCCAGCACTTGCTGAACTCTGCCGTAAGCAGGGCACTCACAGTAAACTGCCCAATCGTGACGAGTCTTTAAAGCCTTCCCTGCTCCCTGCAGTCACTCATTTATTGCCATGTCTCTAGAGCTGCTCTGTACTGTTAAAAGTTAATTTTTACTTACCTTTTTGGTTACTTATGAGAAAGTATGAGTCTAACGAGACGCAACTTTATTGTAGTAACAGTTTAAGCCTGTTTAAATATAGCATTACACAGCACATACACATAACCAAACACATATTCCTTTTCTAACCAGCAAAGATTACAGGAAATTTGTAGAGTTCCTCATCTTCTGTTGTAGATGTGTTCAGTGTCTGGACAGAGTTCACAGTGCCAAGCAAATACCCCTCAACATACTGCCCCACCTACTTGGAAACTTGAAAGCTGACTTAGGCACTTTCAGTCAGCACTAATCCAAACCAGGGGACACACAAGTGTCCTCAGCCAGCTCGTTGGCACCAAACCTTCTTTCTGATGGCTTTGAGTCTAGCAGCATGCACAGCCTCTGCAATTAACTGATTTTAACTGATTACCTGTCCTGACTCTGCCCAAACCCCTTTCCCCCAATCCCTGGTTCCCTTTCAGTATTCCAGTTCATGCCTGAGGCCCTACCTTGAGGCATCCTCAACAGCCCCAGTCACAAACAGAGTAACTCCTTCTAGGAATTCTATTCCGCCGGCCGAATTTACTTTGCTAGGTATCACGATCTGTTCTACTTCTCATCCAGCCTAAATCTGGCCATAATACCAGCCCAGCTCTAAAACACACTCATTCACTTGGAACAGCTCTGTGTTCTTTCCATGTCTGTTAAAAAAGACTAACACACACACAGTACGAAGTTTGAAAATCCATCTTTTTCTCCTTCCCTTCATAGCTGAACTCAAAACGACACTCATCCTACTCGTCCTTTCAGAGAAGGAGCTGGTTTGGTGGGGAGGGTTTTGTATTTCACCTACTTAACTCCCTGCATAGACACTTTTTTTCAACTTATCTCAGTAAACTCTCCAACTCTTGCTTTATGAGATGACCAGTATGTCCAATAGAACTTTCTGCAACGATAGAAGTGTCACATATGTGATGGCTACTGAACACTCAAAATGTGCCTCTGAGAAACTGAAATTTTTACTTTATTTAAATTTAATTTAAATTGCCACATCGAGCCAGTGGCTGCTGTCCTGGATGGCACAGGCAGACTCTTGGTTTCCCCATCAAAACAGATGAAGGCAAGGTTGTGCTTTGGACGCAACTGTGCTACTGATTCAGCCTCAGGTGTTTACCCTGAAGCTGTAACTCCAGTCACTTGTTCTATGAATCCAGTGGAAAGATTCCCCAGTTCAAATTCCAGCTTACCCACGTTAACTATGTCCTGAGTTTCCATTTCCTCATGTGATAGCTACCTGATGTATGTAAACAGAATGCTGGGACAATCGACTGGGACAAAATGGATCTGAAAGCACACTGAATCTAAATAAACACCCTACAAATATGCAGCATTCATGAAACACCTGGGATTGAAAGTACTATAGAACCATGTGTCAATGTACAGCTTATGTTCTAACCATTTAGCTATGAGTATAACGGGAAAGAGGCACATTCTCTCCCTATGGATACTACACCATATCAATGATCACACTAGAAGGAAGTGACAGTGTGGAAAAGTGTACAGAAAGGACACGAGGTGGCAAGTAAAAAGCCTGCGTTTTTTATTTCTCAGCAGATGCAAACCTTGACTAATTGCTTACCAAACACACTAGGAGTACAAAGAAAAAAGAAAAAATACTCAATTGAAAAAACTGCCCTTTGGCACTGAATGGAATTTTCCAGATCTCTTTCCAGCCACTTCCTCCCTAGATTTGAAAGGCCAGGAGTCATAGACCTCACCCATACCTACATTTCCCTTGAGACTTCAAATATGAAGGGGACAATCAGAGCTTTAGACATGGCCCTGGTTTACTTCAAGGTGAGGCACATTTCCTTCAACTTCAGGTTTCCCTTCAAACAACAAAGCCTCTCATTTTTATGCTTATTTCATGATATCTTTTCCTAAGGCTTTATCTTGAGTTCCAGGTCTGTGCGTGGGTTTTTTGTTTTTATTTGTTTGATTTTGAGACAAGAGTTTCACTGTTCTTATCCAGGCTGGAGTGCAATGGTGCAATCTCGGCTCACTGCAACCTCCGCCTCCTGGGCTCAAACGATTCTCCTGCCTCAGCCTCCCGAGTAGCAGGGATTACAAGCACCCACCACCGCATCCAGTTAATTTTCTATATTTTTAATAGAGATAGGGTTTCACCGTGTTGACTAGGTTGGTCTTGAACTCCGGACCTCAAGTGATCTACCTGCCTTGGCCTCCCAAAGTGCTGGGATTACAGACGTGAGCCACTATGCCCGGCCCCAGGTCTGTGTGTTTAATATACTAAGCCTAACACTAAGTGCAAAGATGGTCCTCACAACAAAGTTTGTTATATGATAGTGAATATTATTAAATTTCTTCAGAAAGTCCTTAATGAACTCAAATTCATAGTAATCTTTATCAACGTAACTATGTATTTCTTCAATATGGGCCTTAGAATACAAATATTTGTTTTCATGATATAATAATAAACTTCTGTAAAAATAAGACCATCTTCCCCAACAGGCAATAAACTCTGTGCCTGAAGATCACAGCTTACCTATTGAAACAAAAAAAAAAAACCAACTATATGTGTATATATAACATCTCTCATCACCATGCACTTGATCAGTTCTGGCTGTTTACTGATGATTCTAATCTTTGGTTGAAAACCAATGTGCTTTCTGGCCAACATCTTTAAAACAACTATGACAACTTTATATTATCTGACAAACCACCAGTGATCCTAACGGAACCAATAGAGCGACGGTCCTGATGAGAGTCAGTCTGTTCTGTGACTTGACATAGAGATTGCATTTGAGTCTTAAATACAGTGCTGAACTTCAACACCTGTTACCCTGGAGAGATAGTAAGTCTTACCCCCAAAACATCTCAGGACATAATTTTCAGTCCCCTTGATTCTAAAAATACTGAGTGAGTGATACAGATCTGCGAGGATGCCAAGAAGGCTTGTGCCATCTGCTTCGTTCTCCTCATGTTGATTATTTTGGGGATGAGAGAGGAGCAGACTGGAAGAAGAACATATATATATATGGTAACAGCTAAGAAAGACTGTGTTCCCAGGGGACTGGGGCATACGATGGTGGAGGGGGAAGTCAGACACAAGTGTAGTTCCAAGACTTCCCCAATGCTACATAACAGAATCATCTGATGCAGCACAACTGTTTTACAACATTCTGAAAATAAACCAGGACTTCTGGCTTCAACTTCCATTGTCCTCAGTGACACAACACAAGGACCATTTCTGAGATGAAACTGAATTTCCACTTTTGGTCTTCCAACATGGGTGTTTTTCTCAATATCAGAGACTGAATTCTGTTAACACAGTGACTAAGCTCTTACTTTCTAAGAAATGAGGCTTAAGAGGAACAAGAAAGGCAAAGTGAAATATTTCTCTAATATTCAGAGAGAAAATTGAGAAAGCTGTCCAGATGACTATACCACAGCTTTGGAACATCAAATCCACATCTTAGCCAGAACATCTGAAAAGAGACAGGGTGTGTTCTATTTACACATAGTGTAATATCTGGTTAAAGATGGCCAATTGCACAAAAGCATGTAGCTTCAGTCTCTCCAAAAATTCTACTAAAACAG